CAACTTTCAAATCAGTATCAATCTTGTCAGGTAAAATGTGTTCCTCTTCATAACATCTTTTAAACACAATCTATTCATAGATGCTCTTAAAACAGGGGTGGGCAAATATGGCCCCTTTATGACCTGTGGACTTCAACTCCCAGAATTCCTGAGCCAGCTTGGCTCTCTCAGGAATTCTGGGTGTTGAAGTCCACAGGTTGTAAAAGGGCCACAGTTGCCCACCCCTGTCTTAAAATAAGCTCTGGATTCATTGTTCGAATATATACTTCAATATGAATGATGTTAAAATATTTTGCTCCATTCTATATTTGTCAGTCAAACTTAGGTATTCTTCATCTTTAACTGTAATCTTTAGATTCTTTCTAGTTCTTTCTCATGTCTAAAGCCAAAGTTCTAATCACCCTTTTTCTGTTTATTCCAGAAGGTTTTTTTAAGTCCTTAAACATGTGTTTAAAGCTTCTTTTGCTAAGGATTAAAGGAAACTCATCTTGTGCTATAAAATATTTTCATCCAAAGATTCCTAATAGATGAAAAGCAGTTGCAATTTACAAAAGTGATTAGAAAAGGAATGTGAACCCAATGTTCTTTTAAAGACAGAGATTATTATTTGAACAAATTGGCTATCTCCCAGAGTTATAAACTCATTGGAGACTACTGACTTGTGTTCTCCTCATAAACAGTGTCTATCTGAAGCACTTGTGGGTGATCTCATGTTCTCTCCTTGTCCAGACTCCATCCCACCATGGTAGTCAGTTCTGCTTTTTGTGGAGCCATCTTCAAGTCCACCATTTCTTTCCTGGAAGTTGCCAAGGATTCTGTGATTAATTGATGAGTCCGGGTGGAAAGCCATGTAGCACTGTAAATTCTTCTACAATATTTCTATATTTAAATTGAAAATAAAATCTACTTAGGGCTATTAGCCTAATTATTATTGAGTTCCCTCACTTATTTTTTTCAGATTATAAAAGTGCTTGCATACTTTAGCTGAAAGAAATATGTGAGGGAATTTTTTGTCTCTAAAATCTTTAAGTGGTGTTGGAATTGAAATGGAATATATTGTTTTGTGAACAGGATAGTTCCATCTTCAGACAGAGTACTATTGGTTGGACTGTTTTTTTTTTTTCAGAACTTCTCTAGTTCTTGCCCTTTTATTCAGTATATATACAACATAATTTATTCTGATTCCCCTAAACTAGTTTGCTATCTGCACAAACAGCTTGTTTTAGTGGAACGTCTTGTGTAATTCCTTTCGAGAATGCTGCTGTTCATTAGTAGCTCAGAATATTGAAGCTAATAAATATCCAGTCTAAATAAGAAAGGTTGTCAAAACTGAAATATGAGAAGATTTATATTTTTCTAATGGAAAAATTTTACTGACGGAAAAAGACATTTTCTCAATGAAAGAAAAGAACGAGCTAAGGGAAAGGTATCTGTTAAAATCTACAGTACTTTTTAATGGAATAAAATATTGCCTAGACAGATCTTTATGTTCAATATACAGTAGACAGATTTCTAATTTCTGTATTTTTATTCACAAAATAACTACCAGCCTTTCACATTGTATGTTGAAGCTAAAACTCCTTGAAATACTAACCACATAACAATCGCTTGAAGAAGATTAGTCTTCTCTGCCTAAGATCCCTTCCCACCATACACTATTCTATTAACTTTTTTTGCTTTGATGTTGCTGTTACCATCTTCTCGTTTATTAAAAAAACATTTTCTTTGCTTTTAAAAATTTACAGTAATTACAACCATTTATTCCAGCTGTGCATCTCGGTAGATTGCTAAGCATCGACCCACCCTACTTTCAATATGTACACTCTGCCTGTGATTACTGAATCTGAGCCAAGAGGAAATTTTTCTCAGCCAAGAGGGCTTTCCAGAAAATAAATAACTTTCCCTTTCTTTCCCAAACAGCACTGTCAATCAAGCTTGATCTAATTATCAAAATAACTTCTTCTTTCTGTATTATTCTTACTTTTAATTTTTTACAATAGTTGTAGCAAATTATTTTTCTCCTGCAAACTATTTTAATGTCAGATCATTTTGCTCTACATCTATCTATCTATCTATCTATCTATCTATCTATCTATCTATCTATCTATCTATACACACACACACACACACACATAGTCGCACACGTACACACGGAACCTGAATAAAAGTTTATGGAATTATTCTAAACCAGTTTCATTTGAGATATATTTCTATCAACATGATGAGGTATATAATACGAGTAAGTAAATTATCTATTTATAATTTATAGTATCTACTGATGTAAAATATTTTGTATAATGCTTCCCTAGAAAATAACTTCAATCATAGTTCGGAACACCTCTTTACACTATCTTAACAGCAAAATTGTCTATTTCACTCACAAAGTCACAATATGAACATCTTATCTCAACCCAACTATTTGTCTAAAAGGGTTGCATTCCTAACAGAGTAATAATATTGTATGTGCTGTTCTCTAAGGATTCATGATTATTACACTTTACATCTGGTTTGAATGAATATTACCTTGCAAAATATTTTTCTCTGATAACTATGAGCAGACATAGAACTCATGCTTTATGCTTTGAAGTGGCTGTCCACCAGATACTTGATATTATAAAGTTTGTATATGTTTTAAAAATCACACAAATGGCAGACTGCTGATGGATTAAGCAACTTAAATATTCTCTTATGCAGCAAATCTTTTTTGTCCAATCTTATGTCCAAACAAATATACTGGCAATGCAATATTTTTTCAGCTTTCATAACTAACTTTTGAAAATAAATCTAGCTTTTTTTCTGTCTGTAGTATTTTTATCTCATTGTTATTAACTGTAATATCTTTTTCCTACACACCTATACCTCTTGTGCTCTACTCTCAGCTGGCAAGCAAAAAAAAAAGATAGATTACTATCTTTATTGTGACTGTTATATTCCATGAATTTCTGTTACTACCATGGCTTCCTATTATAACAGTTTTCCTTAGTCTGCAACCAACTTATCTGGAAGGCACCAGATCTTCATAAAAACAAAACAAAAAATATACATATTCCCTTGGTGTGCAGCTAAATACAATTTTCCCAGGAAAGATATGATTGGTTTGGGTTTTATAACATCATGGTATTGCTTACATGGCAAACATTATATAATCCTCCATGAGTAACTTGTTTCCTATGTTATACAAAGAAGAAACAAAAAAGTGATTAACTACGTGGAGAATGCCATCTTGCATCTACCATCATGTAATTAACATTTATAAACTATTTTATGTTAAGATTTATGACCATATCATATCAGAACTAATCTTCAGTCATTCCTTCTCTCCTTTTCACCCAAATGTCATACCCACCTTTATCTGTATTCAATGGATAAATAAAAAATAAGGAGCCCTAATGGGGCAGTGATTAAAATTGCAGGATTGCAGGCAAACTCTGCCCACAGCCTGAAGTTCTATCCTGATGGGGCTCAAGGGTAACCTAGCCTTCTATCTTTCCTAGGTTGGTAAAATAATACTGACATTGTAAATCACCCAGAGAGTGCTATAAAGCCCCACAGGGTGTTATATAAGTCTAAACGCTTTTGCTAAATAAAAATTACTAAGTATGATTAAATTAAGTATTGTTTAAAATATTTTTTCCTTTTATATGTGTTTCTGCTATAAAGTATATAATAAAACCTCATTGCCCCTTTCTCCTTTAAATCAATCCCGTTTGACAGTGGTATGCTTCTGTATTGGTTGGGATCAGAGAGCTAGGTATTTCCATTCAAGATGCTCATGGGGAGATCTAGGGCTAGTTAGTGCAACTCAACCTCATCTCAACTGGTGAGGGCCACATTCCTCAAGATTATGCTGGGCAGTCGGAAATCATATTCAAGAGTGCAAGGGTACTCATGTATTCTTATGTATTCTTATACAGGTAGTCCTTAACATTCAACAGTTTGTTCAGTGACCATTCAAAGTTACAATGGCACTGGAAAAAAAAGTGACTTATGACCATTTTTCACACTTATGACAATTGCAGCATCTCCATGGTCATGTGATTTACATTTGGACACATGACAACTGGTTCACAGGGTTCCTGGGTCATGTGATCACCTTTTGCAACCTTCTGACAAGCAAAGTCAATGAGGCAGCCAGATTCACTTAATAATCATGTTATTATGAAACTTCAGAGATTCACTGAACAAATGTAGCAAGAAAAGTTGTAAAATGAGGCAAAACTCACTTAACAAATTGCTCACTTAGCAACATAAATTCTAGACTGTGATTATAAGTTGAGGTCTACCTGTAGACATTTCCCCTTCCAGAGGAAATTTTGGAGATCCTTCTTCAACTATTGGTCAGAAGGGTCTCAATTATAGAATAATTTTGATATGTTTTTTCCAAGGAGATTTATCTGTTGCTAATTTTAATTTGCTTCTAGCATGAACAAAAGGCTTTTTAATTTTCTTAGAACCTTTTCTGATAGTTGTAAAATTGATTTAATTTACTGCTGCATTTGTCTATTGGTTCCAAATTGTTTGTAACTGATCTTTAGAGAATTGCCTTGCCACGGGATATAAATCTTTTCTACCAGATTTCCCTAATCTACTATCTTCCAAAAGTGTTGGTACCGTCATAATCCTCAACCAGCCTGTCTTGAAAGGGTTATAATTCAACTCATTTTGTAGGCACTGGGTTTGGAAAGCCTCCTTAAATAATATTTCAGACAGAAAACTGGGTCACTGAAGGTCCAGACTTCATGTATATAAACCAAAATCTAGGCTTTAAATTATAGAAAAATTCTATTCAAATGAAATATTTAAAGAAAATGAGACCCTTCAGATTATGATATATAATGCTTCCCAGGTGATTTTTATGCTAGACAGCTTCTTCATGCTGCTTTGGAATCTTATGACTTTAATGCATTTCTTTCTAAAATATGCACACCCAAAATGTATAATTATCTGATCTGGCATAAATCTGCTATGATGTCTCTTTCTCCAGTGGGGGGTCTACTCACTTTGATTAAATACCACTTTTTCCCAGTGATGCTGGCTACTTGATTCATGGCATCATGCAGAGTTTGACATGACCCTGCAGTTATTTATCCGTTGTTGCTGTAAAAAAAAAAAAAAATTGGGCAGTTTAACTTTTTGATCACCATAATTGCATCCTAACAAATTATGTGTCAGCCTTTTATGTGTAATTTTAGCTTCAATGGTAAATATTGAATATGTCTAATCGTTATTTTGAGGCAATCTTTAGAAGTATGTTTTCTTGGGCTATCTTATTTTGTCTGTTGTCACTATTATCTCTATTGTGGTATTATAATAGATATTATATGTATTATAATACAAATACACAAATAACAATGTGAGACATAGACTTAGAAATATATAATAAAATGAAAAGAATCATAGAAGTAAAAATAGGCATAATGTTGATTCACTAAATATCCGAATATATCTGTCTGTCTGTTGTTACTCCATGAATTGAAGTTATATTTATTTTTCATTGCATTTTCTTTATTTTCATGTGATCAATGTTTAATTCAGCCTCAGTTTGCTCCAATAACAATAACTTTTGTTTGATATGCACACATGCCACAGTGGACTAAGATACAATTGGATTAACTGCTCTGACCTCAAAGCAATCCTTAGATTAGATATTATTAAAAATCAGATTTGAATTTCTAATTCTTTGGAGCACTTTTTGCTTAATCATATCGTGTAAATTTTGCATGGCCGTCACATTATCTTCAAAAGCCTCTTGTTGATTCAGAACAATTGGATATAACAGAATAACAGATTTGGAAGGGACCTTGGAGATCTTCTAGCCAAGCAAGAAGCGCTATACCAAGGATGTCAAACTCAAGGCCTGTGGGCCAGATTCAGCTGCAGGGTGTTTAAATCTGGCCCATGGGGCCAGCCTGGAAATATCAAAGGACCGCCCACAGTGCCTCTGCTGGCCAAAACAGTCTGGAGGTGGGGCATGAGGCCTCCTTAAGGCCCGTTTTCGGCCTCCGTGGTCTCCTGCAGTACTTTGCCAGCCAAAAACAGGCCACAAAGAGGCCCCATGAGGCCCATTTTCAGCCTCCCCAGCCTCCAGCATCACTTTGCTGACCAAAAAGAAGCCACGGGGGGTGGAGGGGGCACACACAATGGAATGAGTGGTTATATGGTAAGATCTATGATCTACCTTTTGAATGGTATAACCAACCTTTGGCATTTATTGTATTTCCTAAAGAAATTCATTATTTTTCATTGCTCCAGTGAGTTGTGAGAGGGCAGTCCATGCCCTCAAAACCCTCAACCCTTAAAAAGTAAAAATTAATTTACTACAGTAATGCCTTACCACTCTCCCCGATGAAGTTTTATTACTTCTCTTAAGGAAAGGAATCCGAGTGTTTTATAGTTGAACAATATTTGAGAGTGAAATGTAGCAGTTACTATCCCAAACACAAAATTCTCTTTGGAATTTTTAAAAGATTAGTTAGAAAAATCTAGGTAAGCATTTCCTTCATCTTCACCTGAAAATATATCCAAACAGCTCTGAGTCAAAGGGTAATGAGTGTATGTTACAACTCAAAAGTAATAGGAGGCCTGACAACCATTTATTTAGTATCTGTTCACGCCCACCATGGCCACGCCCACCGCTAGCCATGCCCGACCACTACCCCCAGCTCTCCGAGGTCAAACACAACCCCTGATGTGGCCCTCAATGAAATTGAGTTTGACACCCATGTACTAGATGGTCGTTTTTGTTTTCTTCTTCAGCAAAGTGACTTTCGAAGTAATGTTTGAGGAAATATATAAGTTCTTTGATGAATAGATAATGGTAGTTAGCAGTTACAATCTATTAATAAAATAGAAATATCAAAATATTGAAACAAACAACCTATCAGGTGACACAAACATTTGATTAAAATGATTTACTGGGGCTTTGAGACAGTTGGATGAAACTATATTTTGTTGCATTTGCTTCAGATATTATGTTATGTGTAAAATGTTTATGTGCCCTTAGGTTTTGTTCAACATTTTCCATGTTGGCATTCTGCCTGAACATCTGCAGTGCAAATTATTTCAAAGATAGGTTTAACCGCTCAAAGATTGTGTGGCTGTTTGTACACGGTGCTTTAATATAGCTTTCCTGAAGTGTTTTCTAAGCACCATCTGAAAGCTGACTGTACTGTTTTTCCATGTGAATATAAAGCAACCTGGCCATTATTGTTCTTCATAGGGTACCACTAACTGTACCATAGATTTTCTTACATGGTTTTTTAGTTATTTATTCATTATTGGTCATATATTCCGTTATTTATTGGCATATACCATGACCATATCTAGGAAGATTGGCTTAAATACACATGCAAGCTTGTTAACAGTGCCAAAAGAAATGGGCTGTAAAATTAAAAGTGCCATGCGTCATAGTAATGAGATCAGTTCTTTCTTCTAGAATAAATGAAGAGACAGGCCTAGAAAGAGTATGTGAATGAGAAGTTAGAATACAAGTAATTAAGGAGCTCCATTAAAATGCCTATATGATGACTTATTTTCTTTCAAAGGCACAACCATCCATCACATGTTATAATTATAATGTTTGTCTGTTTGATTATTGAGACTTATCTTTTAAATGAAATTATAAGCAGTCTGGCTCATGGAGGGGGGGATTGAAAGTCCATGCAAACAAACATAACTGTGCAACAGTGCAACTGAATGTGCAACAGTGCACTGAATGTGCAACAGTGGTGGGTTGCCCCTGGTTCAGACCGGTTCGGAAGAACCGGTAGTAAAACCAATCAGAGGCTCTGCCCACTGGCCCAGACTTCATAATAAGTGATCTGCGCATGCGCAGAAGCTTCTGCACATGCACAGAAGAGCGTGCGAGCGTGATGTGAACTGGTAGTAAAGGTAAGTAGAACCCACCTCTGATGTGCAAGTATTTAAATACTCTAGAACTGCTTATTAGGCCAGTGGTTATAAAAAACAAAACTAAACAGGGAATAAGAAGATGAAAAATAAGCTAAGGACACAAGGCTTACTGTCCAAATAAAGGCAGTGGACAGTGTTTGTGGTATCAGATGATTCTTAACCTTATCGGACAATGTAAATAATTGTTTTTCACCCTCTCCCTCAATTTTGTATGGACAAAAAGACTTTATCTCTTGTCTACCATCTGTCAATAGCAATGGAAATAAATCTCTTAGCCAGCAGAAAGCAGAAACATAGTAATGCCATAATCTTTATAGTAACAAGTCTAGAGGGGATTTTAGATGGTATGCAAAATATGAAATAAATTAAGCTAAACTAGGTAGTAAAACTAGAGGGTGGAAGAAATGGGACTCTCAACATATAGCCTTCCTTTAGATTACACTAGTCTAGACAATCCATGCCCCATTGAGTATCAAATGCAGGAAATCAGGAGTCAAGATGGTTCAAATAAATAGGGGTTTAGTGCATGCTAACACCCTCTACAAGAATCTGAAGTACCTAAGTGTACTAACACTCAAAGCAAATTGTTGGTAGATATGAGTCAATTGAATTCAAGGTGGCTGGATTTAGATCACTTGTGGGTGCAAAAGAATTTGAGACTGATGATGTGCTTGACCCCTCCCCTCAGGGTCAGCCTACATCGCTCACCCTTTCACCTTGTCCTCCCTCCTTTTCCTTAGGTTCTTTGATGCTGCTTTCGCCCACTTGCATCATTTCTTCAAAGTCCGAGTTCTCATAGGAACTTGGCAAGGGCAAAAGGGAAGCTATTTCAAAAGAAATTGCCTCCCCATCATCTGAAGTGGCTGGCAAGCCAGATGGTGGTTGCTGAAACACAAAAACATTGTTAGAGGATCCCTCCCTTCCCCTGCCCAGAGTTGAAGGCCAGAGATTGAAGGCCCGTCATAAGTGAGTGCTCCATCTCCCTCTGTAGTGGTCCAGAAGAACTGGTTAATCTTTTCTTCAACAGCTTCCTCAGGCAATGCAGTTTGGGGGACTGGGAGTTTGGTTGATTGTGGTTTTTCAGAGAAGTACTGATTAAACTTTCAAACTAGGGCCATGAACATACCATGCATTTTCCCAGGAGTGATCAGCAACAGGGAGTCTTCCAATGAATCAAGTACTGAATGCCTTTGCCTCTGTGCCTAGAGTCCAGTATTTCCCCACTTTGTATTCCCCCTACTATGATTAGTGATGGAAGAGTTTGATGTGATCATAATGTGCTTGGAGGGATGCCTTTAGAGAGTAAGGATCAGTGAAGGATTGGGTCCACCTTCGTAGATGGAGGCAATTGGAGGTGAAAAACTACTGGGTTGATTTGTTCCTGAATGGTCCCATAAATTTAGCATCTAGATTTTTGGAAAGTTATGAAGATGCTAAGAACTTGATCAAGAGCCAGACCATGTCTCCTATTGCTATGGGCATCCCTTTCCACTGGTGGGCATTCCACTGCTCCCTTTTGTAAGACTGCTTGGCTTGGTTGAGTTGCTGCTTCAGTAGGGTTTGGGCAATGAATTGCTCCTGTAAGAAATCAACCACCCCTGAAATTCTAAGTGCAGGAAAGTGCACCGCTGGAATTGGAAGTGCAGGGTGGTCTAGAAACACTTTCGAAAGTGTGCCATACATGGCTTGAAATAGTGTCATTGAAGTTGATGATTGTAGTGAGTTGTTATAAAAAAATTCTGCAAGAGGCAACAAGGATGGCCACTGTCCAGTTGTCTTTGCTGTAGGTACAGTAGCACCTCAAATTCTATTGGAGAAGCTGATTACTCTGCTGGGTCTTCCTTGAACTCATCCATCCAAGCCCATGAGAAGTGATCTAGACATTGCTTTATCTTGGTGATTAAGTCTTGGTGCTGTTTGATAGCTCCCATCCTCTCAGTGAATGATAGTTGCTGTCAAACCTAGAAATGCAAAAGCTGCAGAATTGTTAACAGTACTGGAGTCTGTTGAACCTGAGAATATTTTGGTTTGTGTGAGAGAGAGCATCTGGCATCAAGTTCTTTGAGCCTGGGATACATTGAATGTGAAAATGAAAGCAAGAAAAGAATTTGCTTCCTCTGATTTGACTGGGTGCAAGTGGCTTGATCTTTTGCAGTTTGTGTAGATTCTTGTGGTCTGGGTTGACT